GCGACTGTGACGTCATAATCAAAAATAGACCTAGGAAACCCCTGAAATCCGTGCTGAAACAGGAAGTGATGAAAAATTTTTGAATGTGTGCTTTTATTCCACTTTGCTGGCGGTCTACACCATGTAAGTTTCAAGTCAATCCGCCAAATAACAGCCGAAACAGTATTTTTCGATTAATTCCGGCTAAAAAAAGTATGCAATGAATTTTCGAACATCGAAAATTTTTAACTGCTATCATTTGCCCTTTGTTACAAGAAATCCAATGAAAGAAACCCGATTAAAATCGGTTTATAAACATGCCCTCTAGAGGCCATTTTCCGTTTGTTGCTAACGTCGCTTCATGTTGCTCAGAAAATTTTCGTTTTACATTCATTCCACAATTCTCCACAGGTTAGAAAACATGGTGAAATCCGTTTTGCCATACCCTTTGCCGTTTCCGAGAACTAAGCTCCCGGGATGAAGAAAAAAAAAATAAACAGTTAGAAAACAATGCAGGGCGTTCGTTTAAGCTGGTGGGCGAATTATTAGAATATTAGATGGATTAGTGTATGAAGAAAATTTTAAAACTCCACCATATTACATTACGATTACATTTTCATTTTGAGAGATCAAAGAAATAGAAATAAAAGAGAAGGTAATATTGTGGCTAGTAATTGCATGAAATTATTAGGTAATTCTTTGTATGGTAAATCAATTCAGAAAGATATATTCATAACAAGACATCTATGGAATGAAGCAACTTAAAAATCCAATTTGATTCACATATCAAAAGCTATCCTAAAATAAATGAAACTCAATATATTGTTGAGGTAGAAGATGAAGAATAAGAAATAAACTCAACCAACAGTAAATCTACACGACTAACACCTAGTCATTTGGGAACATTCGTATTATCACACAGTAAGAAAATAGTGAATAATTTTATTCATGTAATAGGTATTCGGTGTATATTTAGCACCAAATGTCAAATACAATATCATTCTCCCGATGGTATTTTAAAAGAAAACATTTAAGGGTTATACGATTACGTTCAGTTAGCTAGTGGACATGATGTCCCAAATGAATCTAAGAAACCGTGGGGGAAAAGTTTCACCAATGGATGATGATAAACAAAATAAAGTTTTTATAAGTTATTTTGAATCTCGTTAAGAACAGCAAAGGAATCATGTACCCTTATGGTGATTAAGATGAACTGACTTTGGATGAAAACTATGAATTGGATGATTTTGGTCACCTTACCTATGATCAATAAGTTTATTTTATTTTTTAAAAAACTTACCTTTTTTTTTTAAATGAAGTTTAATTACAATTTCCTCGTTACCAAAATCAATAAACCTATTTTTACTACTTTGATTTCCAGATTTATACTTTTATCATAAACGAATTATATGTTGTTTTAAATGGTTTCTATATAATTCTATATCCAATCGGTACAGTGAATGTTGGAATGCTGTAAATAATCTGACGTTTGTATTTATTGAAAAATCCACCGTTTATCAAATTACAGTGGATGTTAATGACATCGATATCATTCTCGATATTAGCCTTGTGTGGTGCTAATGTTGATTCCGTATATATTTGTTCATCAAACCCTAGTAAAGTATCTAATGGATTTTCCACATTGAAATAAACTTGACTATTATTTCTCAATATCAATTATATTTTGTTCAGATTCAAATTACCTTCGAATTCAATATTGTTTTTACCATTTACACTTCCTCCGTATTCTGATAAGTATTCGTTGATGGCCACGTATTCGTAGCTTCCTGGTAGTAAGCTAATGGTTTTGATTTCGGGGAAGGGAGGGTTTGATTCTCTCAAATGTACAGGCCTAGGGTGGAGCAGACACTTTATTTAGAAATTAGGATTAAGGGTCTTGATATTGGGTTTTCTTCTGTTCTTATTCTGATCGGAAATTAGAAAAAATAACTCGCCCGATGGGCGAGAAGTATAGTATCTGTTATGTGCTGATTGTTTTTAGTTTACTATGAACAATATTATCATTTAAGTTCTTATTTTTTGAATATGCAACTATCATTTTCTGCTTATAGACATGGGGGAATTTCTCTTGAAGGCTCTTATAGTGGGCATGAACTATCTTGCTTGCTCGATTGCTGGTTGTATTAAACGGGACAACAAAGGGTGCTATGCCTACATTATGATGAATATTTAGTCCTATAGGTCTTGCTGTATTCAATGTCTCAATCCAATGGGCTTCCCTAGATTGACGGAATTTGGTAGTTTCATCTTCGGGCAAGTCAATTTCTATACGCTCAATTGGGATTAGGGCGAGATCGTCTATTGAATGGTCGTCGAGGTTGAAATGATTAGTAACAGGCTTGTTTTTCTTTAATTTGATGTCTGACCTGAGCATTAAAGCGCGTTCGTAAATTATTCTTAGTTTCTCCTACAAATTGTTTGGGGCATTTCTTGCATGAAATTAAATATATTACATTCGAATGTTCACATGTTAGATGTTCCTGGATCGGGTACCTTTTATTCGTAGAGTTGCTTACAAAATAATGAGTTTCTGATATAAAGGGACATGTTTTGCATCTACTGGACAAACATGGAACGCTTCTTAAACCTGGAGGTACTTCGGCATAAAGTCTGTTTTTAGCTGCTATCTGTGCTAAGGTGGAATTTTTTATGTTTCGTAAAAATCGTTTAGAGTACCCACGCTCTTTCAGTTTTCAGAAAACAATCGTACAGGCTTGGTTGAAATCAGAAGATCTTGTACAAATTCGATGAAATCGTAAAACTTGTGACTTAATTATACCAGAAAAGGTATGTTTTGGATGAAAGGAGCTCTTGTGCAAGAGTTGATGAGTATCAGTTTCTTTGAAATACACTTTAATATCCAGTTTATTTGTTTCTGCTATGGAATCTCCCTTAAAGACTGTGGTATCGAGAAAGTCTATGCTTTTGTCACTCACGTTTGCGGTTAGTTTGATAGAAGAATGGTGGTTGTTGAGAATTTCAAAGAATTCCCAAAACTGTTCGATAGAATAAGTCCAAACCATAAAAATGTCATCCAAAAAGCGTCCGTAAAAAAGTGGGTCAAATGGACAGAGGGGCAACACCTCACGTTCCCACTCTGCCATGAAAAGGTTTGCGTACGAAGGGGCGAATCGTTTGCCCATTGCTGTCCCTGAAGTTTGTAAATATGTTTTACCATTAAATGTGAAATCGTTTCGACTAAGACAAATCTCTAAAAGCTGTAGAATTGCATCGTCGGGTCTGTTTGGATCTGGGTTTCTATTAAAAGCTTTACGAACTGCCGTTAAACCAGTAGTGTTATCGATATTGGTATACACAGAAGAAACGTCGATAGAAATTAAAATAGCATTAGAGGGAACTCGAAGATTTTTTATTTTATTGACAAAATCGGTTGTGTCTTTAAGGTAGGCGCGATGTTGGCATGCTAGAGGTAGTAAGAAATGATCAATGTATTCTGACACTGCATATGACTCACTACCACAGTCAGATATAATCGGGCGGCCTTTAGGGATTTTATTCGAGATAAACCACTCCTTGGTTGGATTCTTATGGATTTTAGGCAAAGTGTACAAATT